ACAAAGCTCATGCCCATACTAATCGGAGATTGTGTGATACTGGTGATACCTGAACGGCACATAGGCCCATATCGACTCGGGGGTCCGCGATTGGTGCGAACGCGGTCTGCCATTTGAGGGTCCGTCCCGCAGCTCGGGGTCCGTGAATAAGACCAGATCAGCCGTTCGTGCCCTTAAGCTCTCCAGTCAGGCTATTGATTGTCGGTCCCGGTGGGCCCCCAGGCTTTTCGGGCCTCCTTCAACACTGCCTCTGGCCGAATCGGGCCCCTCGTCAACACAGGGCCCCTGTTAAGCGCTGTGGGCCCTGACAGACGATGGGGCCCCGGCCAATGCAAATCTATGGCTCCTACTTTGTCCCTGCTTGGGTGATGGGCCCTCAGGCCCATGCCGGCGCGGAGCCGCCTGTGCGCTATTGGTGGTGTCTGACCGATACATAAACCCTTACCGACTCAGGGGGCCCCTGATCAGCGCGCAGGACCCTCTGAATAGCGTTGTAGTACCCAGCCCTGCGGGCCGAGCTTCAGTGGCTGGGCCCGGCCCCTGAATACGACCCCTGACCGGCCTTTCGGGCCCTTCGGGCGCTCAAATCGGGCCCTTAATCGTGGATTCAGAGTAGCCGAAGGGCCCCTTGGGGCCTAAGGGGCGGAGCACGTGCCCCTGTGCCCCCTGGTTGCGCTACTGGCCCCACCTCAGTTGCCCGTATCTTCTCAGTTTGAGCTGGTTGCAAGGCGCGAAAATGCCATCCTTGGTGCTAGCTTCCCATAATCACCCACTTAGTCTTGCATGTGTACTCGAACAGGTCTGTAATATTTCGATAAAGCAGCGACACCAGTGATTTTGTCGAGGAATTGTCTCATTTTTTTGTTTGTCAGCTACGTAACTCTCTCCCGGCAAGGAATCATGCTGGAGCAGGCATGTGAAACAAAATGATAATTAAAAGGTGCACTCACGGTGAATGAGAGTTATGTGTATTAGCACACAAACGAACCATGATATCCAGCTATACTCCAGCAGGGTATATATGGTTTCTATTTCTCTCCAGTTGACGGGCCGGGCCGGGCTGGACCACTATGCCGCGTAAACGCACGTGCCCGGGCTGGGTCCTTGCTCGGTGTCCACGGGTCTGCGTCAGGCTCGGCTCGCGCTGGATGAGCACGTGGTAGGTAATGGTACCGTGCAAGATCCTCATGCATTTAGGATGTACATTGTCACTTCTCCATAAAACGGAATTAAACCGGCCGGCCGTGCAAGCCCCATACATAAACTGCTGCCAGGTGGGCAGCCGGTTGAGTGGCCACGTGTGCCGTAACAAAGGCGGTCGACTAGGGCAGCGAGACGGCGAGCCGCCAGTTAGTCATCCGCAGAGATCACGGCCCGCACTGTCCTGATGGTCCCGACGACCGGCCCGCACTGCCTTGGTGGTCCCGCCGACCGGCCTGCACTGTCCTGATGGTCCCACCGACCGACCCACACTGTCCTGATGGTCCCGACGACCGGCCTGCACTGCCTTGGTGGTCCCGCCGACCGGCCTGCGCTGTCCTGGTGGTCCCACCGACCGACCCGCACTGTCCTGATGGTCCCGACGACATTGTCCTTATGGTCTCACCGACCGGCCTGCACTGTCCTGATGGTCCCGCCGACCGGCCCACACTGTCCTGATGGTCCCATCGACCGGCCCGCACTGTCCTGATGGTCCCATCGACCGGCCCGCACTGTCCTGATGGTCCCATCGACCGGCCCACACTGTCCTGATGGTCCCACCGACCGGCCCACACTGTCCTGATGGTCCCATCGACCGGCCCGCACTGTCCTGATGGTCCCGACGGCACTGTCCTGATAGTCCCGCCGACCGGTCCTCACTGCCTTGATGGTCCCGTCGACCGGCCCGCACTATCCTGATGGTGTTGCCGACCGGCCCGCACTGTCATGATGGTCCCGCCGACGAGAAGTGCACTAATCTCATTTTTGAGGCTTGACCATCAGAAGATTATGCGATGAAAATCTGGATGGCGCATAGCTTACAGCTTTGGAAGGTTTCCATAACGCGTTTTTTCCATTAATGAGACTTGTTTGTTCTTTGACGCGCTGGAAGATTATTGCACCAATAATCTTCATCGCTTTGACCCATCATAACATGTCACAGGTCAAATTGCTTTAAGGCCATTGATTGCTTTCTGTTCGAATTTTCCAAGAGCTATTCAAGGCCGTCCTCGGCGTTGTTTTAGCATGCCTAATTATTGAGGTGGGCGGAGGGGCTTACAGGGTGTAAAATTGGTCCAATAACATAATTATACCTGTCAATGGCAATTTGCATCACTTTAGATTCATATATATCTGATGCATTTTTGTTGCATGGATATTCAGACTTGTGTAAATTCGATGAGAGCGACGTATTTTCCGGGAGTCTCCCGGACCTTGTGGGGAACCGGAACAATTTCTTTCGCAAGCCTAGGTGTCCTCGTTCCCAGCTTTTGACCCGTGTCAGGGCCCTGCGCAATAACTGCATCATCTGATGCCCGGCTCCACCCGAACAAGTGGAGCCGGTCGCCGACGGAACCGTGCTCTGGCGCTGGGACGGGTGGAGCCGGCCACCGACGGAGGCACGGCCGGGCCCCTCTTGCGGTACGGTCGGATCCCTCCTGCGGTGCGGCCGGGCCTCTCCTGCCGTACGGCTGGGTCCCTCCTGCGGTACGGCTGGGTCCCTCCTGTGGTACGGCTGGGTCCCTGTTGTGGTATGGCCGGGCCCCTCCCGCGGTACGGCTGGGTCCATCCTGCGATACGGCCGAGCCCCTCCTGCAGTACGGCCGGGTCCCTCCTGCGGTACGGGTGGGTCCCTCTTGTGGTATGGCCGGGTCCCTCCCGCGGTACGGTACGACTGGGTCCCTCCTGCGGTACGGTCGGACGCCTTCGGCCGACTGAAAGGCCTGCCGGCCGCTGATGGGCACTGACGGCGAGCGAAACATTGATATGGCTCTGCCCTCCTGAAAAGGGAGGAGCGGTCGTGGTGATGCAGACTTGTAGTTCAACACCGTGAGGTTCCAGTTCTAGGAAGTCGTTTTCTTTGTCATGTCAAATGCAAACATTGGTTAGCTGGTAACTTTCTTGATACGGCAGCCTTAGTGCGGATGTGATACGATAAGATTGTCTCTGTGATGGAGCTTGAAGACCGCCGGTAGAAGACTGAAATGATTTCGCACATCACCGGGCTTTGTCTCTGTACGGTAATGGACACTGCAGTATGGTGAGATTGGAACATAACGACGGGCTTCGAAAGGATTCCATCCTGCTAACTCTGACGTTTATGATTTATGTCATTTTGTGTGTACAGTGATGACACCAAATGATTGTCTTAACTACATGACAAGACACCAGTTGCGAATGATCGCGTGCGTACCCTGAAACTCAAGTTAAAGAACAGCGCAAACGAAAGAAAGACCAAAGTCAGGCCTTTTGAGGGAATTGGTCGAAGGATTGGAAGTCGAAAACATAGACAAATAATGTGAAAATGTAACTGAAGTTTCTGGGATGCCCTTCACACCACCCTTCTGAAATTAGCCTGTGAACTCTTCGAGGGACACATTATCTTTTCACCACAGACCGTTATTGGATTTCTTCGATGTTGCGATAGCACACCCGATGGTAAAGCCCGGCAAGACACATTTTCGTCCTTACTGTTGATTGATTGGGTGATTCAGTCTCTTGAGTCGATTCCTGGCGTTGAATCTTGTAACCAACGTCATTTTGACATTTTTAGCGCGGATCTGCAGCGGTGGAGAGGAGGTCGTCATTTGGAGCCTCAAATATATTTTCAATGCAACTCCTATGCGAAAAATGTCTGAATTTGTACACCGCAGCGAAATCCCTGCCAATGCGACTTGATTGTCGTTCTCTAATGTGACCGTCATTCAGTCCGTGACATGACACGGCTTCCAGTGAATTGCAAAATGCCTATTTTAATGAAGCGCAGAGGGCCGGCCGCGAAGCCATCTGCGCTCGTGTTTGTCGCCGCCCGTCTGTGCGGGCATTCAGAGGATGGCGTGCACCAGCGGGACACAAAGGGCCGTCGGGCGCGCGGCCGCAGACTGCGGTGGGTCGCGGCCGCCGCCGCAGCTGTCCTGTGACGAACGCGACCGGCGGCCGCCGCCCGGCCGCCATAATACCGCTCTAATGAAGTCCGCGCAGCTCAAGCCCCGCCGGCCATTGAGCCCTGGTTAGAGATGGTCATCAGCGCTTTGTCGGCGGCGCTGACACATGTGGAGGAGCGGGCATTGTGCGGGCGCAGCGCGCGGTCGTCCGGCCCGGCCATTAGGCTGGGAGCGCGCGCGCGCCGCCGCCGTCACCGCCGCCGCCGCCGCCGCCGCGCCGCCGCCCGGCCGGCACCTGACTCTGCCATTTTGGACGGCTCCGATTGGCCGCAGCCCAGCGGCGGCGCCGCGCGCGCTGATTGGTCGAGCGCCGCGCCTACCCGGGCCGTGACCAATCCCACTCAATACGGCCACTAATGAGCTGGCGGAAAGGCGTGATTTAGCGGCGCCGGGGACGGAGGGCTGGTTAGCTGGCCGGATTTATGTCGGCGGGCGCAACTAGAACTGGTTCGGCCGGTCGGGCGGGTGGCTGTGCCGCACGCTGCTCCGCGCGTCTGCTGCTCGGTCGCCATGCCGGCCGCCGCGCGTTGCTAGAGCATGGACGTTGGCGAGTGCCGCTCGCCCAGCCCATCCGCCGACGGTCCGTGCAGCCGCAGTGACAGTGAGATCAGTGTCGGCTCGGCGCCGCCGGCCGACATGGCGCCGCGCAGTGACATGACGCCGTCAACGCCGGCCAGTCCGGCCCAGCCGCCGTCGCCGGGCTCGCCGGCGGCGCCGCGCGGCCCGCCGCCGCCCGGCCGCACCGACACGCCCGGCTCGGCCGACCTCAACGGCTACGAGTCGAGCGAGGCCGAGGACTACTTCGGGCCGCTGCGGCGGCTCGGCCCGGCCGCGGCCGAGACGGCGGCCGGCCGCCGCGCCGGCGACGGGCTCAAGTCGTTCTCGGTGCACGACATTCTGAACCATCGCAGCTCGCGGCGCAAGTGCGCCGTGCCGACGCGTATCGTGCGGCCGTGGGACTGTGACGAACGGCCGGCGCCGGCGCCGCCGCGCGCCGACAAGCCCGACCGGAAGCGCACCGCCAACGACAACAACAACCCGCTCGACGAGCTCTTCAAGATGACCAACAAGACGCTGCAGGACTTCAAAGACGAGAAGCAAGGTGAGAACGGCGCTCCGGCTCGTGGCACCGCGACGCCGGCCTGCCAAGAGGCGGACCGGCGGCGCTGTCGCATGGCCCGCGCACGTCTGGTTTGAAGAAGCCGCGTTTGATGTCCAGCAGAGTAGGACGGTTGGCTTAGATGCGACGTGGGTGGTGTGCGACAGACGTTTTACCGTTAAATGTAACTGATCGCTAGATGTGCATATGCTGGCTGTCGCTGGAAAGTAATGCACAGTGCAATTGTTAAGTGACGTGTGGGACGCCGGTCCAAGTTCGCACAACTTTTTCAACAGCAGAGCCAGCTGACCAAGTGCACGAACCAGAAATGCAATGTTTCGGGCTGCGATACTGCCGCCGGTACCGTGTCGGCACCAGTGGTGCTGGAGCTTTGCGACACTCACATGTACCGGCGCGCTGCACCAGGATGTGTTTGTCCGGACTGAACACGCCAAGCTGAAGGCCGGTGCCATCGTCGATATCCAGAAGGTCTTACCTGCTCCAGGCCAATACCAATGTGCCTGCATATTGGGCCTGGTGTTGACATAGGCGGCACCCACCACAACCTCAGCAGACAGCGACTATATCTAATTTCTATGTACCTTTTTATAAAAAGTGAATGGAACGTGAAAAGTTTAGCCGCTAATCGACCGTTTGAGCGCCGTATTGTCGAAACAAATGACCAGACGTTGCAGAAATGAAGCAAGAAAAGGACCTGGTCATGCCTGCTCGCCTTTCGTGAAAGCGTAGCATTCGTGCTTGTGCTGATGCTTGGGAGGAATTTGCCTTACAATCGATGTAGAGGCCTTGCAATGCATACCCAATAGCTGGAAGGTTTCTACGTGTCAGGAAAATCGCTCGAACACTTCGATACATTTTAGCATTCTGATGTAGTTCGATGCGTCCAGTTTCTCTGGGGAGCACGCCAACCGCACATGCATCAGGAAAAGGATAATCCCCATACAAGAGACACTTGAGGTCACAGGTAGCCGGTAGTTTTTACCACTGTAGGTCGCTCCTGACAGAAAGATCAAAACCAGGTGATGAGTTTTCACTGAACTGCGCCTCCCCACCTTAGGAAACCGTGGTCGCACCCCTGCCTGAGATTATCATGACATGAGTCAAGTCAGTCCCAGGGTGTATTCACATCCTAGCTGCTTATATGTGTACCAAATGAGCATTATACGCAACCGTGTCATTGTAAAAATAGATGTCTTACATATTCAGGTTTTTACGGAGCCCATCAAACGAGTTATCTCCTTAACTGTTGTCGCCGGAGACACTTTAGGTCAGATAAAAATCTTGAAATTGAGCCTTATCGCCTCAATTCAGGATCGGAACAAACTGAAAATTGCGTTAAGTCTGAATCACTGGGAGTCCGAGTCCGAGTCAATGTCATACCCTGTGAGTCAGCGTTGAAATTGACTCTGCAGAAACGGAAGTGATAGCAAGTCCGATCGTATGTGGACGGGAGAAAACTAATTTATGCCACTTTGAGTACAAGCCTTCCTTACGCGTGGGGCAGGTATGACCAGATAAGAATGTGTCAACACTCCGGTCCGCCTGTACCCGGAGGCATAGCTGTTGTTGGCCGTAGTATGGCCAAAGGTGATGTGTGGCATAGCATGGCTGCGACGGACCGATTGTTGTCCCCGGCCGCCACGTGCAGTTACACAGATGACTTCTGGTGGCTGAGAACCGAAGTGTGACGGTCCTCACCGGCTGCTCGGGACGGAGGGCCGGTCCTCACCGGCTGCTCGGGACGAAAGACCGGTCCTCGTCGGCTGCTCGGGACGGAGGACCGGTCCTCACCGGCTGCTCAGAGATGGAAGACCGGTCCTCACCGGCTGCTCGGGACGAAAAGCCGGTCCTCGTCGGCTGCTCGGGACAGAAGACCGGTCCTCACCGGCTGCTCGGGACGGAAGACCGGTCCTCATCGGCTACTCGGAGACGGAAAGCCGGTCCTCGTCGGCTGTTCGGAGACGGAGGCCGGTCCTCATCGGCTGCTCGGAGACGGAAGATCCGTCCTCGTTGGTTGCTCGGAGACGGAGGGCCGGTCCTCACCGGCTGCTCGGGGACGGAGGGCCGGTCCTTACCAGCTGCTCGGGAGGGAAGGCCGGTCCTCACCGGCTGCTCGGAGATGGAAGACCGGTCGTCACCTGCTACTCGGAGACGGAAAGCCGGTCCTCGTCGGCTGTTCGGAGACGGAGGCCGGTCCTCATCGGCTTCTCGGAGACGGAGGACCCGTCCTCGCTGCCTGCTCGGAGACGGAGGGCCGGTCCTCATCGGCTGCTCGGGACGAAAAGCCGGTCCTCGTCGGCTGCTCGGGACAGAAGACCGGTCCTCACCGGCTGCTTGGGATGGAAGACCGGTCCTCATCGGCTACTCGGAGACGGAAAGCCGGTCCTCGTCGGCTGTTCGGAGACGGAGGCCGGTCCTCATCGGCTGCTCGGAGACGGAAGATCCGTCCTCGTTGGTTGCTCGGAGACGGAGGGCCGGTCCTCACCGGCTGCTCGGGGACGGAGGGCCGGTCCTTACCAGCTGCTCGGGAGGGAAGGCCGGTCCTCACCGGCTGCTCGGAGATGGAAGACCGGTCGTCACCTGCTACTCAGAGACGGAAAGCCGGTCCTCGTCGGCTGTTCGGAGACGGAGGCCGGTCCTCATCGGCTTTTCGGAGACGGAGGACCCGTCCTCGCTGCCTGCTCGGAGACGGAGGGCCGGTCCTCATCGGCTGCTCGGAGACGGAAAGCCGGTCCTCATCCCCTGCTTGGAAAGGGAGGGCCGGTCCTCATCGGCTGCTCGGAGACGGAGGACCGGTCCTCGTTGGCTGCTGGGAAATGGAGGGCCGGTACTCATCGGCTGCTCGGAAATGGTAGGCCGGTCCTTACCCCCTGCTCGGAAACTGAGGGGCAGTCCTCATCGGCTGCCCGGAAGCGGAAGGCCAGTCCTCATCCCTTGCTAGGAGACGGTGGGCCGATCCTCCCCGGCTGCTCGGAGACGGAAGGTCGTCTCCCTCCGAGAGAAAACACGGTGCAGCCACATTGTGGCCGGTGCGCCGGCCGGCTCCTTCCGACTTTTGGACCCCGGCGTGCGAGTGCGGTTCTATCGAGGTCGATCCATCGACTCCCCTGAACCTTCACTGATGAGCTCCTCACCCGGAAAGGCGTATAGTCGTGCATGCGCGTCAGCAGGGCTGCTCCCAAACGCTGGACGCCATCCGCTCCGATGCTCCCTCCACTTCCGACATGAGACGCTTCTGCCCGGGAACGAAATGCATCGCTGGCTCTTTCACTTGAGCCTGGGCAGATTTCGATAAGCAATGAGGAATCACTTTACTCTTGATCGGTAGCCACGATGAAACGCTCATGATCGACAGCGTGCGGCTCAGCGACAGAGGCAGCTCGCACGCTCGGACAACTTCACGCTTCTGTTAAGGTGGTTGGCCTTTGCACAACGGCATGTAATCTGAATAATATGCGTCTGCGGTAGTAGGCACGCAAGCCATTACCTATCAGGATGTGAGATGATGCCAGCCACCAAAAATATATCAAAGTCGTCAGTCACTGAGTGATGATACAGCCCTGTTGCTAGCTCGCGTCAGTAGGTTGCTGGCTCGGTGGCCCAGCAACAGCTTGTAATGCAGGATACAGCTGCATGCTCGTGTCCGGGTTTAAATCAGGGTTGTTCGCACTATGCTAGCGGGGCAAATGGTATTCCGCATTCGTCGAATGACATCCTGAAACCCCGGATCTGACCTTCAACAAAGGACGACATCTCTTGCTTGTCGTCCCCGACGCTGGTGGCAGACGGACGAGGACTTGTGTGTAGTGGAAGAGGGGCTCGAGCGGCATTACCCAGCCCGCACCCATATAGCAATCAGCCAGCGAGTTCGCCAGAGCCAGAGCGAGAGCGACTGCGACTGACCAGCCGCGTCGCAGCCGCGTGCAGCCCGGAAGCCCGGCTCGCGAGAAGGCTGAGGACGATGTGATCAATCAAGTTGGAATGGCATCCACGGGCGCTGGGCTGAGAATGGTGCAAGCAATGGGCAATCTTACGATTATTTAACGTCGGATGTAAGTTCTATGGATGTTCAAGTGGCAATAGCTCACGCTGCTTGCGCTATGTAAACCTGCCGAGTTTGCACAACCGGTGGTAAGTCTCTGGCCCGCGGCCCGTTGGCGATGCACTTCCCCTGAGCGCGGTCGACCTGAGGGTGCAAGCAATTACCTCTTCCTAGCATGCAACATGAATTCAAGGCCATTCAGCCGTTTCGTATAGCAAAATAAATGGTATGCTCATCTGAGGTGGAAATTCCAGACGTGCCCAGAGAGGTGGCCCAGTACAGGGAACAGCCGGGGACCAGAACCCGCAAAGAAACATCATCTTACTGCTGCCTGTGAGGGAATCGCTTGCGCCATGTGCATTTCATGGCCAGAAACACGTTGCCATTTCTTAGAATCATCTTAAATGATGACCCTGCTCGTTCCAAATTAACAAGCCCCAGTTGAACAGAAAGGCTGAGGAGTAGCAATGCTCCATCAGGCAGCGGGCAGGCCGCGGTTAGACGTTCCAACTTCCGGGGAGTCATTCACATCGAGCACGAGGACCACATCTGTACGTCCAGCGTCCTCTTATCAAATGCACCATGGCTACAGCGCCGTGTTGAATGTCGCCGGGTCGTTAGACTAACTAGCACCAGCAATCGAAATGTTTGCGTGCAAATCCCGGTCTCCTGGGAACACGCCAGCGATCCTGTGCTGCTCACTAATATGAACTTAAATAGTGCCGCGCTATCTTCAGTTTAACGCTTAACGAGATGTTTGGCGTGCTCTTCCCACAAGGGAGAAGAAAACTCGCGTCCAAAGCTGGTGTCAGATGATTGCATATCTGCTGATGACAACCAGCGACAAACACAGGCGGGGATAATTAGTGCAACATCCTATTCCAGTAGCGCAGAAAAACTGCGTAGTGCATCTTGCCAGCATATCTAAATATTATGAAGA